CTATGTAGATTTATGGCAAACGCAATATAAAATTCTATTTGGGATTAGAATAAATGTTTCAAAACAGTTCTGTTTGACATCAACCATTTTACTGCTGCTACTGCCATAATGAAGCAAGATGCTTGTCAGGTAGTATGAAAAATGATGTTTGAAGAAAAACTGCTTTTAAAATTTGCTTGTAGGTACACCTATTTTCACCCCTTAACAGCTTCTCACCATAAGCAAGCCATCTTATCTCAATTGTTAATTTCCCCTCTAATTCTTTTCTAAATTTATTTAACTCTTCATTCTTTTTAAAGAGCAAGAAAATATGTGAATATTCTAAATTTTATTCTTAAAGAGTATGTATTAATACAGGGAAATATGCATGCTATCATTTTAATTGACAAAAGCAGTATATTAATTATAAGAATAATCTGCCTTGTGTCAGATAAACAATACACATGCTCACACATTTAAAAGTCTCAAAGGATCTAGTCGCCCTAGATAAGTGGCATTACGGGTAGTTAGTTTGCAAACATCACCCAAGCAGAAGCAGCAGTGGGGCCTTGAAGCAATTTGTGGTCTTTGGTAATACTTTTATCTGGAAGGTCCTGGAGAAGGTCCAAGCACAGGGCTGGCTCTATGGGTGTGTGATCCCACAGTCACATAGGGGTACTACATTTTCATTTTGCACTGGGCATTGCAAATTACATAGCCAGTCCTGTCTGGGCAGCTTAGCTCTGGTCCATTAACCGGTAGATGGCTGTGAGGTATGCACAACCTATTTTTTTTTTTTTTTCTCTTTTTTAAAAGTATTATATTATTTTTTTAAAAAATTAGAAATTAGAATAGCAGAAAAATTAAATAACCCTGAAAACTCTCATTTTCATTAACATCTCTTGGTACATCATAATGATGTTTGGTGTTTAATCAGAGCAATAAAGAACAATTCACATTTTATGAGATTGCCAATTCTTTTGGTTCTCTTTGTGCTGCTCTAACAGACATACCACAAATGGTTGAGTTGTAACAAACAGGCATTTATTCTCTTACAGTTTTGGAGGCTACAAATCCAAGTTCAAAGTGCGAAGTTCTATGGGCTGGGTGAAAGCCCCTCAACCTTGGGCTTCAGCTCTGTCTCTTGGCTGACAGAAACTAGAGGTTTCTCTTAAGTCAAGCAGCTGCTGACTGCTGAGACTTATAAACCCAAGGGCAACAAGTGAAAAGGCACAGAAAGCTATTAGTTCAAGGCCAAAGACAGCTCCCAAATTGGCAGACAACATGTTTGGCCATCTCAAGGAAGCTCTGGTTGCACAGTGCTTAAAGTGTTCAGCCAAATGCAGGATCCAAGTGTGGCAAAAAGCTCAGAGACCTTTCTCAACACTTCTTATATACTGGAAACAGACCACATCCCTAAGGCAGCTACTCACTGCTCACTGCAGATTCCACCATGGGACTGATTACCAGTCTCATCATGGGGAATAACTACATCCAGCTACCCAGCCACTCAAAACCAGGCCCAGCCAAGTTGACACATAACCTTAACTACCATACCAACCCACTGCCATTGGATGGATTCCAATTTTAATAACCCTACAGGACAGAGTATATCTGCCCCATAGGGTTTCCAAGGTTGTAGTCTTTATGGAAGCAGACTGCCACATCTTTCTCCCATGGAGCAGCTGGTGGGTTCGAATAGCTGATCGTTTGTTTAGCAGCCGAGCACTTTTAACCACTGTGCAACCAGAGCATCCTTGAGATGGCCAAACATGTAGGTAATTACAAAAAAGGGGTGTGTGTGTGTGTGTGTGTGTGTAAACGGGGATGGCAAGAAAGGCAACCTATTCCTTTAGAGATGGAATGAGCTATTACATTTTCTTCTGCTAGATAACAAATTAGGAGCTCTGGTAGCATAGCGCCTAAGGCACCTGACTGCTAACTAGAAGGCTGGCGGTTCAAACCTACCAGCCACTCCTTGGAAGGAAGGTTGGGCAATCTACTTCTGTAGTGATACTGCCTTGGAAACCCAAGGAGGGGTCACTATGAGTCCAGTCTGACTCAAGGCACATAACAACAACAGAAGATAACAAATTAGTACGTGTATGGCACCTTAAAACAATACGTATTTATTCTCTCACAGTATCTCATAGAAGTCCAGGAACAGAGTGGCTGGGTTCTCTGCTCAGGATCTCACTGGGCTGAAATCAGGAGTCAGCCTAGGCTGCAGTTCTCATCTGATGTTCCAGAACCTCTTCCAAACTCACATAGTTCATTTCCTTGCAGTTAGTTGTAGGGCGCTACTCACTACCGTGAAGTTGGATCCAACTCATAGTGACCCCTCCTTGGGTTTCCGAGGTGGTATCACTACAGAAGTAGAATGCCCAACCTTCCTTCCGAAGTTGTAGGACTGAGGTCCCCATTTCTTTGTTGGCTATCACCCAGGGGCTGTTCTCACCTCCTAAGGTCATTCACTTTCTTTACCATGTGGCTTTTTCCATATTTCAGTCAGAAATGGCATGCCAAATCCTTATTCTTCAAATCAGTGATTTGCTCTACAATGACCAGTTGGAAAACAAACCAACCAACCTCTCTAGTTTTAAAGGGCCTATATGATTCAGAAAATAAGCCCTAGTGGTTCAGTGGTTAAAGCACTTGGCTATTTACTGAAATGTCGATGGTTCAAAACCACCAGCCATTCAGCAGGAGAAAGATGTGGCAGTGAGTCTGCTTCCATAAAGATTACAGCCTTGGAAACCCAATGGCGCAGTTCTACTCTGTTCTGCAGGGTCACTGAGTCAGAATCAACTCAGAGGCATGAGGTTGGGTGGCATATTATAGGATCCCTGCTGGTGTAGCGGTTAAGAGCTCAGCTGCTAACCAGAAGTTGTAACTGTGAGCTCACCAGATGCTCCATGAGAAAGATGTGGCAGTCTGCCTCCATAAAGATTTACAGCCTTGGAAGCCCTATGGGGCAGTTCTACTCTGACCTATAAGGTCATTATGAGTCAGAATCAACTCAACAGCAATTGGTTTGGTATCTGATTTGTGCCATATTACGTAACCTAATCACAGGAATAAAATCTACTGAATTCACAGTCCCAGACATTTGTAAGGAGTGTACACCAGGGAAGAGATCTTGAGGCCATTTCAGAGTTCCGCCTACCACAGGTATCCTAGAGTCCCATGTGAAGGACAGAAGGTTCCTTGACTTTTCTATCCATTCCTGTAACTCAGTTTCCTAGAACTGCAGTAACAAAACACCACAAAGGGAGTGGCTTTAAAGAACAATTTTATTTTCTCACAGTTCTAGAGGCTAGCAGTTTGAATTCAGAGTGTTGGTAGGACTTTGTCCTCACTGTTGGCTCTAGGAAAAGATTCTTTCTTCTCTCTTTCAGCATTAGTAGCCCTGGCTGTTTCCTAGCATTCCTTGGCTTGTAGACATATACTCACAGGGTGTCTTTCAATTGTGTATGACCCTGCCCTCAACATGCAGGAAAATGACAATCTACAAGAGCAGATGTGTATCAACATAATTTAATCTATCAATTTTAAAGCAAAATATTTACCTTAAAACTTAAAAAACAGATTGAGAGTACCAACCTTTCCCCCACTATGCCAAATACTTTTTTCTGAAGTTCTCCATAATTTAGAAAAGAAAAACAAATGACATATTAGATATGTATGTTTAAAACACACTGTTGTTGTTGTTATGTGCCATCGAGTAGGACTCGACTCATAACGACCCCTCCTTGAGTTTCTGAGGCAGTATCACTACTGAAGTAGATTGCCCAACCTTCCTTCCAACGAGTGGCTGGTAGGTTTGAACCACCAGCCTTCTGGTTAGCAGTCAAGTGCCTTAGGCACTATGCTACCAGAGCTCCTTAAAACACACCAAGAAGGTAGAAATTTGTATAGATTTGTAAAGCTCTCTAGATCAGTTGATACTTTGCTACTATGTAATATATGTGTCCTAATATGTCTGTGTTGAGTATTCCTACAAATGACATCAGTCAAGAATGCATTACCAAATAAAAATAGTACACTATTATATGTAGTTATTTTCACTGAGGCTATGATAAAAATAAAAATATCTGAAGGGCACTTATTGGTGCATCATTTCAATAAGGAAAAGCCTGAGATTGATTCACCTGGGAAACAGATACTGCATTTTGATCTTTAAAATACCATGACATGGGAATGGAACATTATACACAATTGGGATCCTTTTATTCTTATTTAAATAAAACATCAAGCGTATTTTAACGATCTGTATCTACTGAACACACTTTTGAAATAAATAACTAAGTAAAATATATGACTATTTTCTCTGGATAAACTTAAAAACCTAATCTACCTACAAACCATTTTCGGTAGAGTCTGCTAGTTGTACCTACAATTCTGCACTCCCCCCTTTCCCAATTCCTCCAGGGAAAACATTCACTAGACTAAAACCGTATCTACAATTCTTGCAATTACACTACTGTGACTTAAGGTGCTCTGGTAGTGCAGTGGTTAACACATTTGGCCGCTAACCAAAAGACTGACAGTTCAAACTCACTGGTCTCTCAGTCAGAGCAACATGAGGCAATCTGCTTCTATAAAGAATTATAGCCTTGGAAACCCTACTGGACAGTTCTGCTCTGTCCTACAGGGTCACTTTAAATTGGAATCTATTCGATAGCAGTGGGTTTGGTTGCTTGGTTACTGTGACTAAGTTCTGGCCAATGAAAGTTAAGTATTGGGTGCAACGTCTGGTAACTTTCATTAAAGAAGGGGGTGTAATCCTTTTGCCGCCCACCCTGTGGCTGGCCACAATGCTGATGTGAAAGCTGGAGCTTGATCAGCAACCTTGGATCATGAGATGGAAGCCAACTGCTGAGGTTGGTAGAGCAACACACTAGCCTTGAGATACCTCTGGACACTTACCATTTAAAAGAGAGAAAAGAACCTTGTTACTTGGGGTTTTGGCTATATGCAGCTTAGCCTAATCTTAACTGATACACATTTTACTGGTTGGTATATTATTCTTTTATTAGAAATTGTAAATGAGAAATTATTTCAACACCTGAAGACCAAACTACCACAGAGGATTCCACAGGATCAAGATTTTGAGACGTTCTAGAGAGAGTTTTCTGCAAGGTATATCCTTTCCGTGGCATGGCAAAATCATTCTTCTTTAAAAAGGTTACTGGACAGAAATCATTTCCACCATCACCTACATAAACAATTCGTGTGTAATTTACTCCCTGTTGCAGCTGATTATCTACAAATTCTACCAAAACCACTTTTTTGCAAAGATTCTTTGGGCACCTAGTACAAGAATGAGTGTGATAATTTTCCACAATAAGATGGCCATTGTTATCAAAAGTTGCTGGGTTTGTAAATACTTTATCAAACACATCATGAAAACTGGCAGCTTTCAAAACCCAATCTATGAACACTGAATTTGAATCTGAAATAATGATACAATCAAATGTATCCCTATTCTTTCTTATAAAGTTTAAAAGTTCCACCATTCCTGGAGTGAAAGGCATTGATGTCACTGTTCTTTTCATCTCATCTTCTCTTATGCCCTTGTCTCCCAAATATTTAAAGACTCTGCCCATAAATTCTGTCCAAAATCCTTTTTGATAAGAATCTTGCAGCTCGATAGGAAGCTTTTTCTCTGGAGCACACTGTACAATCCAGGTGTCACTATTGTCATCTATGACTGTATTGTCAAAATCAAAAACCAGCAAAATTTTCATGGTTCCGGAAATAGATTTGGTTTACACCTTGAAAAAGAAGAAGGTAATTTCTTAAACATACTGTTTTACATAGTTAGCTTCTATACTCATTTAACAAATAATACTGCGCGTTAACCATGAAACAGCAATCTACTAAGACAAAGCATGAATAAAAACAAGTTAAAATGGTTACACATTTTAATACCACTATGTAAGTACTTTTTCATAAGAAGCAAAGTTTCTATTCAAGTATCTTAAGTGAATGGAAAACAGTATCTTAAAAGGATATAAACAACACTAATAATATTATTGTGTTCCTGTGGGGATGACTCTGAGCACTCAGAATGAAACTATAGAGCTATTCAGAGAAAGAAGTAACGAAACACACTTATCTGTACACTTATAGTCTTATTTGTCTTCCAAGTATCAATCACAACTGTACTTATTTTATTAGATAAAAATACTTACAATAATCTTCATATTAAATAACAGGTCATAAATTATCTGTGTATTAACCAAATTCTGATCAAAATTAAAATAAAATGAAATCTTTCAAAATGTAGAATACCTTTTTTTTTTTAAAAAGGTGTTTAACTTGAAATCAATTTATAAATATCAACACCAAATAAAATGTTGTAACTGAAATCATGAAAGTAAACAAAGTACTTGAGCTAGAGGTCAATACCATATGTTTATATACACTATAGATAATTTGGGAGCTCTGGTAGCACAGTGCCTAAGGCACTTGACCGCTAACCAGAAGACTGGTGGTTCAAACCCACCAGCCACTCCTCAGAAGGAAGGTTGGGCAATCTACTTCCGTAGTGATACCCCGCCTTGGAAACCCAAGGAGGGGTTGCTAATGAGTTGGGTATGACTCGACGGCACATAACAGCAACAACAACAACACAACATAGCTAGTTTAGCTCTGCAGTGCTGAATAATCTGGTTATACCTGATTAATCACACTGCTTATAATGTGAGTTACTTCAATCTATTTACTTTAGAAGATATTTCTCTAAAAGATATACAAATGGCAATCAGAACATGAAAAGATGCTCAAAGTAATTAAGGAAATGCAAATCAAAGCTACAATGAGATACAACTTCATACCCATTCCAAGAAAAATGCGCTGCCATTGAGTCGATTCCAACTCATGGCAACTGTACAGGACTACCTCATAGAATTTCCAGGCTGTGAATCTTTATCGAAGCAGAATGCCTCATCTGTTTCTCATGGAGCGGCTGGTGGGTTCAAACCACCAACCTCTGGTTAGCAGCCAAATGCTTTAACCACTGTGCTACCAGAGCTCTACCACCAGAAAAACATGGAAAATAACAAGTGTTGGTGAGAGGTCTAAATTGGAACCCTAATGCACTTCTGGTGGGAATGTGAAATGATACAGCCTCTGTGGAAAACATTTTGGCTATTTCTCAAAAAGTTAAACATAAAATCACCATATGGCCTAGCAATTATGTATATTCATAGATATATATGCCCAAAAACTTGAAAGCAGGAACTAAAACAGTTATTTGTACACCAATGTTATTTCAGCATTATTCATACAGCAAAAAGGTGGAAACTACACAACTGTCCCATCAACAGACAAATGGATAAACAAAATGTGGCATATCCGTATTATGGAATATTAAAGAAATGAAGTCATAAAAAAATAAACTCATAAAAATAAATGAAGCTCTGATACATGCTACAACATGGATGAACCTTGAAAAATTGGGTTAAGTGAAGTAAGTCACACAAAAGGGCAAATATTGTATGATCCTATTTATGTACAGTATCTAGAATAGGTAAGTGCCTAGAGACTACAGTTGATTAGTGGTTAGTAGGGGCTCGAGGGGGGGGGATGGGGAGTTATTGCTTAAGGGGTATTGAGCTTTTATTTGGGGTGATGAAAAAGTTTTGAAAATAGTGGTGATGGCTGTACAACATTGTGATTATAATTAATGCCACTGAATTGTGCACTTAAAAGGGCATTTTTAAGTGTTATATGTATTTTACCACAATAAAAAAAAAAGGGAAAAAGATTTAATTCCATGTATTCTCTGGCTTATAACAATATACATCTAGTAGGTAAAGTGTGAGAATAGAGGTCTTGACCCCCCTAAGAGTAACTATTCTGCTTCTCTCAATTTAAATATTTGAAGAATGACTAACCTTTAGCAGTATCTCCAGTTACGTGAATTTAGATGGTAGATTTCTGATACTTGGTTCCTTGTATCTGTCTGTAAATGGTGAATTTAGGTATCCCAGACTAGCTTCCAGGGACTTAAATTTTCTCATAGAAACACGTAAAAAATAGGAATAAGGCATACTTGATAATCACATTAGTACTGTACCTAGAAACATTGAGTTAAACATGCTTTCTGAGCATTCTGATTACAATCAATTTATAAATAAAAATTTTAAATGTAACTCACAGTTAAAGGACTGTCTCAAAGCCTAGATTTATTTAATTAGCCACAAGTTACTGAAATTCCTGAACTATTAACCTCAAAATAGTAAAATGCATAAGCCTCAACATGGTTTTACTGCTGAGTTATGCATTAAGAGTGTACTTTCTAATTTCAGAAATTTTTCCAGTAGTCTTTTCTTACTACTCAACATGTTAATTTCTCAAGTCTGAAAACCTTTATTATTGCATGAATAAACATTTATTAAAAATACTTACCCAAATTAGTGTTTCCAAGACAATTACTCGGATTTCAGCCCAGAACTTAGGTTAAATAATCATGACAATCTTCAGCTTTATACACCAACCAGTTGTTTCTAATCAACATATCTCATACTTCATATGCAGGGAGCAAAGTCTTCTGGTTTAGAGGAAAGGAAGAGTCTTCTTAACTCCTAAAATTAATAAAAATATTTAAAATATTTTTAGTTTGTTTTATAATTACTGTTTCACTTCTTCTTACATTAGCAAATAATCTACTAGCAACAAAGAAACAAAATTTTGGTTAAACAAAACATCTTAAATATGAAACAGGGAACTTTATGTGAAAAAATTTTTTTTTTTTTTTTTAATTATTGTGATTTTGATGAAAGTTTACACAGCAAATTCATGTTCCAGGCAGCAGTTCATACACATTTTGTCTCATGACATTGACTACAATTCCCCACAATATAACAGCTCTCTTCCCACTTCCTCCTCATAGTTAACTCTTCCCTGTGTCTTCCCTCCCATGTACTCCTGCCCTTGCCCCCTCAGCTGTCTCCCTGTGGAAACACTGCCCTATGTTCTCCCACGACTGATCGCTCCAAGGAGTGGGGGAGTGTATCTACCCAATGTAAATGTTCACCCCATAAGCCTGTCTATTGTTTGGTAGGAAGCCACAGGAGTGAGTTCAATTCCAGACCTGAAGGATATGAGGGGCCATAGTCTTGGTGGTCTTACCAGGTTCAATGAGACCAGCAAACCTGGTCTTTTGAAAAAAAGTTCTCATCCAGTGGATAAAATCAACTGTTACATGAGTGTATGAGTGTTAGGTTGATCATGTTGAGATGCTAATTGCCTCCATGAACAATGGTCTCCTCTGCTATGAGACCAGAACTGGATGGTGACTAGCTACCATTACTGAATGTTTTGATCAAAGATTCTATAAAAGAATCCTGATCAAAAGGGAGAGAAATACAGAACAGAATTTCTAATTCTCATGGAATCTAGACTTTCTGGAGCCAATGAGGCTAGATGATTCCCCCCACAAACTACTGCCCTGAGATACTTTATACTTTAAGCCTTAAACCAAAAATATCTCAAAGTCTTCTTTAAACCAAACTATCAAAACCAAACCCACTGCCATCCAGCCGATTCCAACTCACAGTGACCCTGAAGAATGGAGAACTGCCTCACAGGGTTTCAAAAGCTGTTAATCTCTACAGAAGCAGACTGCCACATCTTTATTCTATGGAGTGGCTGGTGAGTTCAAACTACCGACCTTTCAGCTAGCAGCCAAGTGCTCAACCACCGTGTCACCAGGACTCCTCATGGAGATAAGGAGTATTGTAAAGGACTTGTAAAATACATATATATAATCACAATGAGATTATGCTACCTATAAAAATTAATAATAAATCCTTAATATCCCCTAATAACCTAGTCTGTGTTCAAATTTCCTTGACTGTCTTGTAAAGGTTGTTTTTATAATGAGCTTATTTAAGTTAGTATCCAAATAAGGTTCACACATTCCAATTGTTTGCTAGGGCCCTTTGGTTTCTGGTTTTTTTTTTTTTAATGAAACATTTTATTGAAGAGTATCATATAAAACTACACCAATCATAAGGGTGCAACTACATGCCTTAACCCCTATGCTACCAGAACTCCTTAAACCAAGTAGTAAGTTAGCATAATTAGTAAAGAATGCTTGACTTGAGCCCTCTGCTCTTCTAAAGATGTACTGATAAAGGATCAAACTGACAACAGTAACTCAGAAAGATTAGATAGGAGCTTATGGGGCAGTGAACTAATACTAACAGCAGAAGAACAATTCAGAAAAGAGAGTGAGAATGGTTGCACAACTGAAGAATGTAAAACTGCAATGAATTGAACATGTAGAATTTGTTGCATGAGTGTACTGCAGTATGTATTTTCAACAACAATAACAATTTATTTTAAAAAAATAAAAAGAACTACCACATTCTGTTAATAAACATTCAGAGATTTTGTTCTGCACTTGAAGTAAAAATATCTCCAAAAATTAAGTATGCATAAAACACTTACAAAGATGCAAATTTCTCTTGTAATCAATTCATTAAAATTCTAATTCAGTTAACTGTTCTCTCCAAAAGCATGAATAGTACATATTAGTTATGTCTGCACAGTTTCTACAGTATTACAAAACTCATGTATTTTTTACAATAATGAAAAATAGAAACTACAAAGATATTCAAGAATTAGGGATTAGTTAAATAAACATATGTATGCTAAAACCATATAATTCAGCTGGTAAAAGTTAAAATACTCAATTTTAAATAATCCACAAAACAGTCTGTACAGTATAAGACCATTTTTGTTTAAAAAATGGC